AATGGGATTTAAATGGATTTAGGAACTAAGACTGAAACAGGAGCATAATTAGAAAAGATTCCAGGGTCATCATGTCAGTTCTCACCTGTTCATCAGGCAGACAGGCTGTCCACAGCTTTCACTTCAAAAATGTGGCATGTTCTTCTCATCAGTGTCTCTTGCCTTTCAGTTCTTGAGGGAAAGGAAGCCTTGGTCACCCCTAGCAACTCGATGTGTCTGCAGCAGTGTGATTGTTGTGGGTCCAGAGATTCAGCTTACATCTGATCTCTTAAAAAACTCCTGAAAACTCAGAGTATGATACTTAATGATTTTCTTAAGGAGAGATGTGAGAAATAAATTATATAGGCCATATCGTCTTTGCTAGCTTTTCCTGGTTTAAATGAACCTTTTCCAAAGAAGAAGAAAGGACATGAACAAGAAATAAAATGACTGTTGCCATTAATGCCCAAGCCACACTTTATGATGAGTCTTTTGCTTTTGTCCTTGAAATGTGAGCTACTGAACATTTGCTAAGGGGGCCCTCTGTTCCCTTTCTCTTTTCTAGTTCACTTTAGGATTTTCTACAGGACAAATTCATGGATTTAACATACCGTGGCTTCTTATGTGGAGTTTAGTCATGGAAGTTCAGCACTCAGAGTAGGAGGCATTTAAAGCTGAAAGAAGAAAGATGAGGCTGATCTCCTAGAGGGGAGAGTCTGTGTTTGTCACCACCTATGCCATAGTTATTGTTCCTACAACTTGGGGAGTTGGACATCAGAGAACACAGAGAGTTCTACTGTTTACTCTGTTCTCCTCTGTTAGCTCCCGTTGCTCCTGCTGCTCTTAAAGGTGCTAGTGAAGGCTATTGCTAGATGTGGAGAACCCAGAGCTGGTGGGATAGGGGCCTGGGGCAGATGGCACTGTGTGAGAGTTTAATGCTGTGTGTAGATTCTGTAGCAGGGAAGTAGAATCCTTTCCTTTTAGAATCCCTACCAACAATATTTCTCATGACTTAGATCATTAGTTGACTTTAGGCTTCAATACTCAGGGATAATTCCATTGGCTTTAAGTTTTAATTAAGAAAGAAAATCATTAGGAAAGCAACTTCCCCTTCCAATTCCTAACTTACAGACAAATTTGTTTTCTGCTATTTATTCACATTTTGCTTTAGACTTTGACCAAATGTGAGTTCGTTAGTTCAAGAGTTTCATAAAAAATAGTCTACCATTTAAAGTTACCCCCCTAGAGTTTTTTCTTCTACTATAATTGAACTTCTTGATGATAATTTCATAAAACACAAAATTTGTACCATCAGGAATCAAACATGAGAACATTCATAAGATTATTCAGCCATCTGAAAGCATTCTGAAGCACATGCAATTCTCATGCGTGACCCTCTGTGCACAGGTTTAACATATGCATTTCTTTACCCATCTCAACATTGGAGAACAGATGCTAGACCTGCTTGTTCAATCTTATTTTTCTTCCTAGTTGATTCAGGAGAGTACAGTGGAAATCATTTGAGGTCACACCAGGCTTTGGGGTCTCCACACAACTAAATTAAAACCAGGGTTTACTATGCATCCTCTCTGGTAGCTATGTATATTGAAGAAGTAGTTTGAGGGAAGAGAAAGATGAGTAGTAAAAGAATGTTAAACTAAGATAAGAAGTGAAAAAAATGAAAGGATATAGAGCGACAAACAGACCTGCCCATAGAACACCTCCAAATTCTCCTCTCATAGCCACTCCCTCCCGGGTAGATATGAAATACCAGGTTTCTCTTATGTTATATAGTGTCTTAATTTCAAATTTTCAAATGGTGAAATTGATTCTTTTGTCAAATGAAATTTTATATGGATGCTCAAATATAAAAACAAAGTAAAGTAGTAGGTTTTTAAATTCAATTTATTTAAACTAAAAAAATTAGTTTACCCATTTCTCCTATCCCCCAACCCCTGTGTCTTGCAATGACCAATTTCTTCCCTGTATCTATGAGCTTGGATTTTTTTTTAAAGATTACACATATAAGAGAGATCATAAGGTATTTGTCTTTCAATGCCTGACTTATTTCACTTAGCATAATGCCCTTGTGATCCATCTATGTTATTGCAAATGACAAAATTTCGTTTTTTGTGGCTGAATATTAGTTCCTTGTGTATATACACCACATTTTCTTTATTCATTGATCCATCCATGAAAACTTAGGTTGCTTCCATATCTTGGCTATTGTAAGTAATGCTGCAACGAACATAGTGGTGCATATTTCTTTTGGAATGTGTTCTCGTTTTCTTCAGGTAAATACCCAGAAGTGGAGTTGTGGATCGTATGGTAGTCATATTTTTTGTTGTTTAGGAGCTTCCACACTGCTTTCCATAGTGTTGCACCAATTGACATTCCCACCAATTGTCTCTGAGGGTTTCCTTTTCTTCACATCCTCACCAACACTTGTTATTTTTTGTCTTTTTTATAATAGCCATTCTAATACCTGTGAGGTTTTTATCTATATTTCTCTGACTCATAATGTCAAGCATCTTTTCATGTATCTGTTGGCCATCTGTATGTTCTAAAATAGTGTTTTATTAATATAAATGTTTACCTTAACATTTATAACATTTCCTTAGCATTAAAGTGATTGGTGAGAGCAAGAGTCTTTTAAATAAATGCAAGAATTTGAAATTCGAGGATATGAGTGACACTTTTTTTATCAACTACTATGTCCAATTTTTGTGTTTTCTTTTAAATACAGTGTATCAGAAAACTCTTGTTTCATGTTAAAGGCAAATAGATCTGACTTTTAAAACTTCTCCAGCCATACAAACAGAATTTTAAATTGTTTTAGTACCTTAAAGGAGGAGAAATTGGTAAATTTGGGTCTGAGAGCTGATCACCATATGTTGCGAGCAGAGATGTCGCCAATACGTAAGATGAGTGAGCACTTTCACATGTACCTGTCTACGGTGGTGTCAGCACTCTCTGTACGTGAGACTGCCCTGTGTGTGCATTCTACCACATAACATGCGATACAATGCCCATTTGCAATCCAAGACACTGGATGCAATGACATGTCCTGTATGGTTAGACCTGAGCCTCCTGTGGCATTAAATTAATCTTTTCCTACTCCAGTTATGGTAGTTTTCTGGCTTGTTTGCGCATGTCTAAACCTGAAAGAAGGACTAGGACAGAGCTATGACCTTACAAATGAACAGTACATCTACAGTATCAAACACATGCATGGACGTAGCAGGAGACACTGAGCCCTGAGGCTGGCACATGCTGACTTAACCAGGCAGGATGCCAGCACATTGTAGGGGCAGAGTACACATTTCAGGCAGATTTCACTTTTAATTACAATTAAATATGTAATTGTCTGAAAAAAATATGGTGAAGTTCCTAAGCATCTCCTTCCAACTCTATGTCAGAATTTCTACTCTGGGCCAACATCCCCAGCTCACCTGGCCTGGCACCCCTCACCAAATTGCCTGGGAGCTCAAAAAGCATTCTGGTGATGTAAGTGAGCCTCCATTTCCTGAAATTTATGGTCACTTTATTCTGTTGTGGTGTCCTCTACCTGATGGTTTTTTTGTAATAAATTTATATTTTTTATTAGAATATTTCCAGATAATTCTCAGAATAAAATCTTAACACCTTGGTTTGTTTTTCAAGGTCTTTCCCTGTCACTTTCCAAAGCTATTGCTCCAAACAATGCATCCAAACAGACCTCATTTTCATTTGTTTTTCTTTCCACATTTTGCTTTTGCTGTCTCTTCTATAATGTCATTCCCTGATGTCTAAATCTTTTTGATAAAAAACGTAGAAGTGATTATCATTTTCATTTTTGGTGCAGCAATATAGATAATATATATGTACACACACAAACATCCAGTATATAAATCACATAAAATATTTAATGACATGGAAAGATTTTTCCATTAAGTGGAAAGGCAAATTGAAAAATATTATGATTCTGTTTTTCTTTTCTTTGAGGAGAAAAATATATAGGAAAAAAATTCCTGAAAGTTTACACCTACACAAAAATGTTACTAGTTGGTGGAACTGGAGATGAGGTTTGTTTTGCTTATTGGTATTTTATGTTTGGATAGTAGACCTGTTTTGTTCTTGTAATAAGACATGAATGAAAACATATCCCTAAAGCATGTGGTACCTTATCTCATCCTTACATAGAATTTTGGAGTATCTTAACCCCCAACTTTTCCAAATTGTTCTCATTATTACTCATATATCTGGGTATTTAAAAAATATTTAATCAATGTGAGTGGCACTAAGGTTGAAGGTAATGCTCATTAATGTTCAGCACAGAATAATATTTTTGAGAGTCCTTTCTGTCATCCCACAGAACTTGGCTTTGGAAATCACCAGACTACCCATCCACTCATGTCTGCAATGATCCCCCTTACCTACAGGAGTTGGGTCAGAGCTAAGATAGTTGCTAATGAAAGAGGAATTTAGATTTACTGTTTCCTAAGACCTGGGTGACATTTTTCAAATATTCTCCTCCAATAGGAAAAGGGCATGCAGTTCTCCTGTGTTGCAGTTGTGAATAACGTGTGCACAGAGGGGTTAACTATTGTTTCTGGTGAAGGTAACAGGGAAACATCTGTCTGCTCAGTCGCCCTGGAGCCCTAATATCTTGCTTTGTGATTTGCCTCTGCATTTACAGCCACATACTCATCTCCCCAAACAAAGAGGATATATTTGGTCGTCACTGATCATTTTTTTAAACTGGATTAGGCAGTTTCCCTTGAAACTTCTTTCCTAATGTAGCATGAAGTAGAGTTAAATAGCAAAAATGAAGGAATTTATTTGGAGCTATCAAAATAGGAAGGGGAATTGTTTGGTTCCACCGCAGACTACAAGAGGGCTGAGGCATGGATTGAAGGAAATTATCAAGCGTGCATGTTGTTTTTAAGTGATACTTGAGACCGGGATGGGAAACAGCTGTGTTGTTGGGGGGTTTTTCTCGTGCCAACGTTCCTCATTTGATTGATTTTTCTCTCCGACAGCCCACTGTGCAGATAAATGTGTCCATGGTCGCTGCATTGCTCCAAACACCTGTCAGTGTGAGCCTGGCTGGGGGGGCACCAACTGCTCCAGTGGTGAGTGTCCACCTGCTGTTGTCTGTCTTGGGATGTTTGTGCTGGAAGGGCCCCTTGTCTGCAGATTCCCCCGAGCCTTGGGTTTCCCGTTTCACCCCTATGCAGAGTGTAGTGCGGATTCCCGACCCAACTCATTAATAGAGTTTCCTTTAAATCTCTGCAAGTTATTAGATCCAGAGCTGTTAACTGAGTACAAAGAAAGGTACTTGGAAAGAAGATTTCAATAATCTGATGCTGATGCTTCCGTAAATACCAGTGCATTTGCCAGAGTAGGGCAGTCGTGGTGACATAGCTATTGTAGTCTAACTTCTGTTTCCACTTGTTGATGTATCTATGATATTTGCTTGGTGGTTAAAATTGACTACTTTCTGGTATTAACTCAGAAGAAGTAGAATGGATATTTTCAATGCTTAACCGATTTTTCTCTATATTTTGAGATGCAAATAATGAGCACTTGCTTGAGATAACTTTGGGGAGAAATATTGGTAATAAATAAAAATTCATGAACAGAATATAGTATGTCATCTGTCTCATGTTAAAATTACAATGCTAAAATAACACTCTTTGGACTATAAGCAGGTTGCATTTAAAATCTCATACTCTTTATTATGAGTATTAAATGATGGAATGTCATGTAGTGCAGTAGCTTTTCTAAATTTCACAGTTAAAACTTAAAAGTTTTCTGGCTAATTTGTTGCTGTGTGTGTAATTGTGTATACTTCCTGTTCCTTCATACTTCATTTTTTTTACGTTTATCTTTTATTGTTGACAGTATTACAGATGTCCCCTATTTTCCCCACATCCCACCCTCCACTAGCCCCCTGTCCCACCCCAGGCCTCACCACACTATTTGCCTTGAGAAATGTAAGAGGGACTCAAAGATCAACTAAATTGTAAAGAACGGACCATCATATTTAGAGAAAGGAAATAATAGTTTTAAAAATTAGCAGGCTCTCATGGCAGCACAAATGTGTCCTCATTGCTACAAAACAGTTTTCTGAAACTAGTCCAAACGGACTTCCAGCTGTCTAGGTAAGCCGGGTTTAAGAATTTTTACTTGCTCACATTTGGGATGGGGAGATGACTGTTTATCTTGTTAGAACTACTTGTTTCAGTTTTGTGGTCTCTTGGCTGCCCCTTGTGCTGTCTGTGCACAGAACATTCTGTGTGAAAGAGCCTTTTCATTGTATCTTAAGCAGCAGCAGGGGTGAGGGGGAGGTGGGGGGAAGAAACAGAGAGAGAGAGAGAAAGAGAGAGAGTTTCTGCCCCTGATGGGCTTCCAGTCCCAGTGCATAACTGTTCTGCAGGGTTTTGTTGTGCTTCTGTTCGAGATCAGGAGAAGAGTAGGCATTCTGTTCACATGCCGTTGAGGCAAAATGTTTGGGATGTGGGAGTTGGCTCATGTCCATTTTTCTGGCCGACTTACCTCAAATGCAATGTGGCTTTCATGAACTTTTCCAGCTTAAAAATCAGTTGTGCCTACACATTTTGAGGAAAAATAACATTATTCTATAAACTAGTGGGCAAGAGAAGAGTGGATGTATTCGTCATTTGGAAAGCGAGGTTTGTTGCTAATTCCAGGGCAAGAATGCTGTGGAATAATTTCAGCTGTATTTATACTCTGTCTCCCAAGGACTGCAGCCTGTGTCAAGCTAAGAGATCAGACTAAGAGTGTGTAAACAAAACAAAAGCCTACATGGGTTTCAGATTCTTGAGAACTGGTTCAGGCCTTCTGGAATAGAAGATAGTGTTTTGTTTTGCAGGTTAGGCCTTCTCGAAAATAAACTGCTTCATTTCGGAGTTGACTCCCTTTTGAAGAAAGCCCCTAGAATACTGAGAACACATGTTCTCTCAATCCTGGAAGGTGATATTGACTCAACTTTTATTTATTCTCTACAACTCATGTTTTGGTTTATTTATAATGATCAAAGGCATAAGTAAACATGAACTGTTATTTGACATCTTCAAAGATGTTCGGAGAAAAACATTTCTGACACCTTTTCTAAACACATAAGAAGATGCTATTCTGAGCTGGAGCACTGGGTCTTGTTACCTGGATTTTGTCTGTGGCAGTTACTCTACTGTCACTAATTAGGAGTTGTATAATTTACTTTTTACTCTTGGCCAGCTAATTCTTGCAATAAAATGCATGCACTAGTAATCTACCTAGTAACAGAGTTAAAATAGTCTAATTTTCAAAGATTTTATTTCTATGTCGCCTCTTCTCTGGTTATTCTTATATATATATTTGATGATATATATTAGAACCATAAAATGATTGCTTTGACAATCAGAGCAGTTCCTTGTATCAATCAGGGTCCAATTGCTTTGACAATCAGAGGAGTTCCTTGTATCAATCAGGGTCCAATCAGGAGACAGAAACCTCAATAATTATTTTTTCAGTAAAGCTTTTAGTTTGGAACCATTTTAAATTTATAGAAAATTTGCAAAGATAGTAGAGTTCCCATATGCCTGCATCCAGTTTCCCCCCTTGTTAATGTCTTACCATTAGTTTGTCAAACTGAGAAACTGATATTAGTACATCACTGTTAAATAAACTCCAGACTTTATTTGGATTTCATTCGTTTTTCTGTTGATGTCTCTTTCTGTTCCAGATTCAAATCCAGGGTACCACACTGCTTTTCATTGTCCTGTCTTCCCTGACTCCTCTGGTCTGTGACAGTTTCTCAGTTATTGTTTTTCCTAACCTCGATAGCCTTGAAAAGCACTGGCCAGGTATCCTGTAGAATGCCCCTCCGTCAGTGTTTGGTGTTTTTCTCATGGTGGGGTTATGGGTTTCGAAAGGAATACCACAGAGTTGACGTGCCCTTCTCATCACATCATATCAGGGGTTTCATGACATTCATATGACATCACTGGTGATATCATCACTTGGTTACCCTTCATCACTTGCTGATGTGTAGTGTTTGTCAGGTTTCTCCACATAAAGTCACTATTTTTCGCTCTCCCTAATCTGTTCTTTAAAAAGCAAGTCACTAAGTCTAGCCTTCCCTTAAGGTGAAAGGCAGGAATTAAGCTTTAGTCTTTGAGGGGTGAGTGTCTACCTATGCTATTTGGAGCTCTTTTCGAGGCAGACTTGTCTTTTCCCTATTCATTCAATCACTTATATATCAGTATGGGCTCATATACAATTATATTGATATTTTGGGTTATACACCAACAGTACATTATTTTTTTGCTCAAGTTGTTCCAGCTTTGGAGATTGGGTGTTCCTTTGGGTGGCTCTGTGTCCTGTTGACATGCCCCCTGCATTCTGTTTGTTTCTGCTGGTTTGTTTTGAGTACTTCCTTACTTTCTGGTACTACAGGATACTCCAAGCTTATTTTGTGTTTTTCCTGCCTCAGTCCTAGAATGAGCCATTGGAAAATGGTATTTAGAAACGAAAATCGGTGTGCTGGGAATGCTCATTGCTACTGGGACACATAGTAACTTTAACAGGGAGAGTTTATTCAGAAGGATTATGAACTACCACAGGGGATTGGAGTAATGAGGGATCGGCTAGTAAGAAGTAAATAACACTCAAGACAATGCAAGGGCAGCTGACATAAGGAGCAGCCTCTACTCTTAGGGCTGAGACAAAGTGCCCCAAAGGAAGCCCCACCGGGTGCGATCCAGACCTCGTTAGAGAAGGCACGTCCACAGCTCACTGAATGGCAGAGAGGCTGCCTAAGTACTGTTCTTGCAGAACTTGCTGGAAATCTGCCCTCCAGGACACTTCGGAAAGCTTTGGATAGAGAAGTGTCTGCTATCAAAGCCCCAGGGGTACCCGGGGACAGTTGCTGGCTCATGGGTTCTGCTAGCCAGTGTGTTGCAGGAGCTGGATGCTAACAAGCTGCCTGTGCTGCAAGACCTAGCGCTGGGCTGCAGAAGCTGCCCCTTTTGCAGAAACGGTGCTCAGTGAAAGCTGCCACACAGTCAGATGCTGCAGAAGCCAGTCCCATCGTGCTTCCAGGGCAGGCCCTGGGGGCTGGAGAAGCCACGTGCGCTTCAGGAGTCAGTTGAGTTAGCACACTGGAACGCCACGGACAGCTTTCCTCCTGGAATGTCTCTCCTGTGCCCTCTAAAGAAGATGCTTCACACTCAGCTAGCTGGAAAAGGAAGACTATCTAAAGGGCCCAGATCCATTTTTGTAGAGCCCGCAATGAAGGAAAAGTTCAGTACTGAGAGGCAATAAAGTGATAACCATTGCAGTCCATGCCTTTGGTTACTCGGCTCCTCTATGCACACTTCTACACACATTTTATCTAGATACTAAAGTTAATGTCCAACAACTTGTTTATAAAATAAAATAAAAATGAAAAGAGAGGGAAAAGAAAATAACATCTACAAATGAATGTATTCCTATAACAAGCAAATAGAAACTATTAAAAACTGCAGCAGGCCCCTGTTCTGTAACTAGTCACAAGGCTGTCATTGTATATGCACCTCCCTTCTCCATTCAGCATGTGTGCCCACCTTTCTCAGCCCAGAGCCCACCTGCTTGGGCTCCTTACATGGTGGAGTGATTTCAGCCCCCATTCCTGAAGGACCTGAATTCTCAGTTGTCTTACCTTTAAATAAATTATTGATGTTTTCTGTTAACCTTTCTTAGTGGGCATGGAATTACTAAGAGGTGCCCCATATTAGAGTTTCTTGGTTTCATGTAGCAACCCAATTTCCTCTTGAAAATCAGGATCAGTCATTACATCCAGAAGAGTAAGTACTTTATTTACAGTAAGAGGCTAAAATGACCAGATGGCCGTAAATTGATAACTGTCACCCAGAACTATCTCTCTGTATTTTTCCCCCTCATATACTCAGGAGATTAAGGGACTAACAGATACCTTTATATGTACAGGTTCACAAAGGCATCCCTTGGAAATTTAATCTGCTCACTTTGTCAGTGGAGGGCAGGGTTCCTATATGTGATATATAGTCAGAATTCCTGGTCTCAGTGTATTCTCTGTATAAAAAACCAGGTGTGTCAGAGAACTGTACAG